CGGAAGTACCTTTTTTTTTTTTTTTTTTTTTTTGGTAATATCGAAACGGGCAATGAAAATGAAGCCCTGGTCACAAGGTAGACAAATATAGGCTATTTTTCCATACCCTGGTAAGTAATCTTGAAACCTGTTATATGTTGAAGTCAGTCTGAAGTCTGAAGGACGGCTGTTGGACACATCTGTGACGATCCAGTTTTTGGTAATTTTTCTCCATTGGAAGGAAAGGAATGATGGAAAGTTTAAAAGTTGAAACCACAGGGTTCCATGGCAGTTGGAAAGAGAGGAACAGACAGGACAGAGCCGTGAACGGGGGTGAATACTGAAAGGGAAAGAGTGTGCAACAGATAAAGCTATACTAGAGAGGGAAGAGGAATGGAAAAGGTTAAAGGCACGGTTTGGAAATAAATAATGAACACAGAGGCTGGACCCAAAACTTGAGGCATAATATGTGACAGACATGCAATAAACAGCTATTGAATCGACATTAATCCAATCCAGAATTGGGCAATGGAGCATGTGTTTGAAAAAGGAAAAGTCTATTCCTCCCCAAACTGTAATAGCAATTTTCAAAACAGCCTGAAAGAAATATTTCCAGGAGTTTATAGAAACCAAATGACTTCAAGCAAGAAAGTATGAGTGTTTGCAGTTTTGGAGAAAAGAAAGTTAATTTCTGCAGAGTCAAAAGTATGCACTTGAAAAGAAGAAAAATGTATCATAAAGAGGATGTTCAGAAGAAAAATGGGAAGAATCTAGTATAAAGAGTGTCACTGAGTCTGTTAAATAGTAATAATAGAGAGGAAATCAAAGCAACACAGCAGATGTATTTAGGCCACTTGTTTATTTATTTCCAGTAATGTTGAAAAGCAAAAAGCTGAAGCCTCAGAGGGAGAAGGAAGAATAAGAGAAGAAATAAAGCTGCCTATAAAAAGAATGGAAAAAAGTGAAGGCATCTGGTCAGCAGGTGTGAGCTCTAAACCCTCACCCAGATCCTCATGCAGGGAACTATCTGAGGGGCTGGGGCTAAGAAGCAGGATGGCAAAAAATGCAAACCTCACAGAATGCGAGCAAAGCAATACAAAAAAAGGGAGTATTTAAGAGGGTAGAGAGAATATGAGAAAGTGTAATAAAAATGCTAGGACATAAAATGAAGGGATCAAAAGAGATAACAATAAAAACGATCCAGGAGAGGCTGGGCACGGTGGCTCACGCCTGTAATCCCAGCACTTTGGGAGGCCGAGGCCGGCGGATCACGAGGTCAGGAGATCGAGACCATCCGGGCTAATATGGTGAAACCCTGTCTCTACTAAAAATACAAAAAATTAGCCGGGTGCTGTGGCGGGCACCTGTAGTCCCAGCTCCTCCAGAGGCTGAGGCAGGAGAATGGCATGAACCCGGGAGGCGGAGCGTGCAGTGAGCTGAGATCACTCCACTGCACTCCAGCCTGGGAGACAGAGCAAGACTCCGTCTCAAAAATAAATAAATAAATAAATACAAACAATCCAGGAGAAAAACACAAAACTGACCCAACACTCACACAATGAATTTTTAAGTGCTAAAGAACAATAAAGTTTAGCTAAGTATTTCCCTCACATTTTATCTTTCATTTTGAAGGTGAGATATCTTCAAATTATTCTGAAATTACGTAAGCCACTTAGAGGAAGGTTTACAAGTCATTGATCAGATCTAGAATATAGCTCCCAAATTAATTTAATCTCAACACAAAACAATTTCAGGACTTGCACATGTCAATACGTTCAATAGGTTCCCTCAAAAATATGACACGGAAAACAAGCAGCTTTATTTCTCTAGAGCTCTGACGAGCTAACAAATTTATCTGTTAAAAAAGGAGACAGAAACTAGGGAATGTTATAGGGATACCCATAATACATTGTTAAATGACAAAAAGGAACTTTCAGAGTAAGTAACATTGACAATATGATTCTATAATAGTAAAAGTAACAAAAAAATTTCACCAATATATACATATCTGTGCTTATACCGTATTTTTAATGAACATACAGAAAAGTAAGATAGAAAAAACATGTACAACAAGCTGTTACTTGGAGTAAAGGTAGGATTATCTGTTTATGTCAGTATTGTTTTCCTTTTCAAAATAATCATATATTACTTTCCTGATTTGAAAAATCATCAAATTACAACATTTTTAACAAAAGGATCTTCCCTTTTGGGCTCTGATGCCCTACCCTAAAACTGACCTGAAGTCCTACATAACTAGAGGAAAGACTTGCTCTTTTCTGTGGTAATCTTTTTCTTTTAAGCCAGGATCTTCCACAGCTTGTCTACTGTAATGGTTCATTTTATGTGTCAACTTGACTGGGCCTCAGGTGCCTAGATATTCGATTAAACATTATTTCTGGGTATGTCTGTCAGGGTATTCCTGGATGAGATTATCATTTGAATTCTTAGACTGAATAAATCAGATTGCCTCCAGCAATGTCATGGGCCTCATCCAAAATCCATGGAGGGCCTGAATAGGAAAAAAAAAAAAAAAAGCTAGAGGAAAGGAGAAGCTTTCTCTCTGCCTGACTGCTTAAGCTGGGTCTTCTCCTGCCCTCAGACTTGAACTTACTACATTGACTCTTCGGGCTCTTTGGACTCAGACTGGAATGCACATCATCAGTTCTCCTGGTTCTTAGGCCTGTACACTCAGACTGGAACTATACCACAGGTTCTGCTGGGTCTCCAGCTTGGTGACTGCAGATAATAGACTCTCGGCTTCCATAATTGTGTAAGCCAATTCCTCATAATAAGTCTCTTGTTACATATATCTCTATCTCCTATTGGTTCTGTTTCTCTGGAGAATCCTAATGAATACACCTACTTACTGTCAAGAAGCAGCCCTGCCACCCTATCCACCTGTGATATCATCCCAAGGAGTGTAAAACCTCTATGTGTCTCATTAGGCAAAACATTCAGGTAGTATGTAATGTCCTCATAGATTTTTCCTGGCTACTGCTTACTTTCAAAGCAAACTGTCACAGAGGATCTTGTTTACTTTCTCAAAAGGCTGTTCTCTCTTCTTTGCATCTCCTGTGAAGGCATAATGCCAAATGGTACAGATATGATCATCCCCACAGCAACAATCCAAGCCTCAGAAATAAAGGATAATTATAACCTTAGTCCAGAAACAAACAGCTGGACGTGAGCTCTGCAAAAATCAGAACCTTCTTCCAAAACCAGAATAAAACTGCTTCCCAGAGAGACAGCAATGTGCATTTTAAGGATTCCCTAGAAACTATTTAATTTTAATAAAGTCCTTTTCCAAAAATCCTTTAGATAAAGACTTTTTCCTTTTACTCTTTGGGATCTAATTTTTGTTAATAAATGTCAACCTTTTTAGGAAAGAATAATTTTCAGTATGTTCATTAGTGGATAAGTTACTTAACACAGATAGGAAAAAATAAGACTTATAGACTAATACACTAATTCGCCAAGACAAAAATACCTTCAACCCACAAATCACAGGATCTACTTGTCAGAACTGCATAGTCTATCTCAGTATTTTAAAAAGTCAACATCTGATCTTCGTAACTGGTGCAACATCTGTAGCAACAAAAGTACCTCACAATATGCGTTTTTAATAATATATGAGATATATAAGAAAAAGATCTTGCTTGATTTTCTTGTCAACAACAGTAGAAAGGGGGATGGGGTTATCAGAAATATTAGCCATCCACTTATCAGAAGTCGAGTTTGAATGGGAGAACAAACTCTTACCTTATGCATTTGATGCATGCTTTCCTGTGGGAAGTCTGTGGACCCCATTGTCGGCATAGGATGGGAGACACTCGGAGGTCCAGGACTTGGCCCCATCATGCTGTGGACGGAACCTGGGGAAGGTCCGGGTCCTGGACTGGGCCCAAGAATTGGCCCAGGGGAAGGCCCAGGCCCTGGCGAAGGCCCTGGGTGGGGCATCGCACCAGGGTCTGTGGGCGTGGACATCTACTTCTCCTGTCTCTGCCAGTCAGTAGAGTAATGCTAAGTTGAAAAGCAGAAAAAAGGAAGGCATGTTTTAAACATGATGTTAAGATCCGAATAAAACAGTTGTTAGCATTTGATGGTGCCATTTCTGTAACAAACATCAAACAGAGCTGCCCTGTCTATTCCAGATGTTTGAGTGAGTGTGATATACATCCATCTGCCCTAGTCTTTATGAAGACCACTTGTTTAAAAAAACACACACACTAAATGATTCCCCAGAAAAATATAAATCATCTAAGATACAAAAAGACTCACTGGAGAAACTCAAATTTAACACATAAGCAGAATTCTAAACAAGTTTGAAATTTATTACTTAAGTCAACAGATGCTCTCCATTACTTACTGCCTTGGACACCTTACAAGTCATTAACCCCCACAAACCCATTAAAATACAGAACCCTTTCAAAAGTATCCAACCAAGACTCATTTTCATAAGTGAGTGGGCATTCAAAACTTCAAGATAGTTAAAGGGGGAAAAATACAATCTTCTAATCTGAGAATGAAAGAGAAGTCCCAATCATGAAAAAAGCAAAAGCTACAGGAATCAGACAAATATGGGTTCAAATACTCATATATGTAACTACTAGCTACTAATGGTTCTTCTTTTGATATTTCAATGCAATGACACGTGTGAAAAACCCAGCTGTAGTCTCACCACAACAAATGGCCACCCTTACTTAGCACTGCTTTCCCCACCAACTCCACTCTACCAGAAGTGATCAGGAGGGACAGTTTAAGATGTGATCCTCTTGCCAGCTAATTAATTGAAGCAGAGACCCCTAGGACAGTTAAAACCAGGGATTTGGCTGGGTGTCGTGGCTCACGCCTGTAATCCCAGCACTTTGGGAGGCTGAGGCAGGTGGATCACGAGGTCAGGAGATCGAGATCAACCTGGCTAACATGGTGAAATCCCGTCTCTACTAAAAATATAAAAAAATTAGCCAGGAGTGGTGGCGGGCCCCTGCAGTCCCAGTTACTCGGGAGGCTGAGGCAGGAGAATGGCGAGAATGCAGTGAGCTGAGATCACACCACTGCACTCCAGCCTGGGCAACAGAGTGAGACTTCATTTCAAAAACAAAAAAACAACAACAAAAAAGAACAGGGATTTGTCCCAGACCTGGCCCTGGTCAAGAATCTTGAGAGAAGTCATCCATGACTACTGGATCAGAGCTCACCACAGACAAGGTGTAGAAATTCTGGTTCTACAATTTCAGCAAAACTATATTCCACCACCCACACTCTAAGGCTTCTTGGCATCCCCATTGGAAATGCCTCATAGAGTGGGTACAACTGCATCTTGGATATGAGCCAGAATGAGTAAATAAGCTGTTTTTCACATTCTGATAGAGATCAATGATGCCAGCAAGATAGCTGAATACCACTAGCAACAGTAATTGCTCTATATTATGATGTTACCTTGGAGGCACACACCTGTACATGGAGAAAGTTCTTGCTGTCAACCTTACAAAGTACAGAATGACATACCCTAAGTGATTTGCTTACCCATTATTTAGTGGCAGAGATGGAATGAGACTGTGGTGGCCTAGTCACCATAGCAGGGCTCTTTACCCACAGGGGAATGACGGGCTGGAAGGGCAGTACAAAAAACACATTCTTTCCATTCCTAGCGACCCATCGCTCGCACTGAATCTCTAGAGTATGAGGGCCATGAAGGCAGGGCATGCTCGGTTTCCCTTCCACGTTCCCAGCACCTCAACCAGCATATAGTCATAGCTCAAAAATTATCTGATGAATCCACTGCAGAGGAAATTTCAAGGGCCACCTATTAATAAAATCAACTCTTTAACTTTAATTTTTCATATTTTTAAGAGACAGGGCTTCTCTCTATTGCCCAGGCTGAAGGACAGTGGAGAGCTCATGGCTCACTGCAGCCTCAAAACTCCTAGGTTCAAGTGATCCTCCCCCACCAGCCTCCCAAGTAGCTAGGACCACAGGCGGCACCACCATGCCAAGCTAATTTTTTTTTTATCTTTCGTAAAGACAGAGTCTCACTATATTGCCCAGGCTGGTCTTGAACTCCTGGCCTCAACTGATCCTCCCACCTTGGCCTCCCAAACCACTGGGATTACAGGTGTGAGCCACTGCAGCCGGCTTCAGTTAATTTTATAAATAAAAACCACAGAGCGGTCAGTCTTTGAGTTGTGTTCCCATAAAGATATCCTTAAAGTGTAGGCAAGAATTTAGGCCATTTTGACAAATAAATTAGAGCTAAAACGCAAAGCAGTCAAAGGCTACTTCAGAGTGATCATAAGCAGGGGATCAAAACAGGACGAAGGGAACCCAGTACAAGTGGCTTCTAAACAACAGAGGAGCCTCAACAGTGAATTACAGCCTTGAATTCACTAGAGAGCCCAATGTTTTTATTTATTCTTTGTGATGAACAAAGCAGACGGAAGTACCTTTTTTTTTTTTTTTTTTTTTTGCTTTCCACCACCTCACACAGGTTCAGTCAGCATTTTAAATTTAGGAAGCTGACGTCAATTCGGTGCTACTACAAGATATAATCTTCTTTCATGTATATCAGCACGCTAATACACCCTTTTATTTTTTAGTGAATAAAAGGAAATTGCTTACTTCCTGTTACGGTTTACACTGAAATCAGCTTCAATAGGTATTACAGTAATATACCACGAGTTTGAACAATGAAGATACAAATACTGAAGTTAGTTAGGCTGATATTCCTACTTTTAATATAATTGATGCATATTAAATATGAAATTCTAATATATATTAGTCCATAACGCTACTTTCCGCTTGCATTATCATTTCCACCTGGGAATCTCAGAGAATGTTGTAATTACTCATATATAGTCCCATAAAAATGCTTCTCATTTTTTTGTTGAAGGAAACTATTAAAAATGTCTTAGAGGGAAAACAAGTTACAAGGGAAGTGGAAAATTACGGGCATATAATTGGAATGTTAATACAGGAACATGTTATATAGGAAACTAATAAGAAGAGAACCTCAGATGCCTGGACTTCAATGAATGTGTGTGGCTCAGACTAACAGTAAAGTTTAACAAATGAAGAAACTTAGCCTATGCCATATAACTAATGAATGGCAGAGATCTGGACTCTCATAGAACTTGATGTGATATTCACTGATGTCCCACTGGGAGCTGAGAGACCTGGGTTCTGGTCTCAGGGTCACCACCAACTCTGGGGCCCTGGGAAAAGTGCCTTTCCTCTGGGGTCTTGACTTCCTCTAGGCTCAGGATAGGAGTATCTCAAAGGACCCTTCCAGCTGTCCATCCATGACGTGATGCCTGCTGCCTCCAGAGCATCTTGAAGACTTCATCCAAACCTGTGTGTTGGAAAGTCCATTAATGGACTCCCAAGGCAAAATCAGGGCTGCCCTAGGATCTGCTGTGGCTACCATCACCCAAGTATACCCAAGGGGAGGACTCTCAAAGATGAGGTCTATAATCCTGGCCTCTTATTCTTCCTCTTCATTTCGGGTGGCAACTTTATTTTACAGTTCAAGTATATAATTAAACTTTCCCACAGTATGAAGAAACCTGGGGAAATAAATTAGAAAGAGGTGCTAGTCTCAAGCAGCACATCATTACTAAGTTAGTATGATTAAGGTTTAAAGTCCAGTATTGGTCAACTCCGCTTCTCCCTCACCAGCCCTGCTGGTATCCCCTGGACTCTCTGCCCCTTTCTTCTCCAAAGCACTAATGAGACAATAGAGATAGGGTGGTGATGAGAGCAGTAAGCATAGTAGGGTAGGCTGGAGGAGAGGGCCCAGATGGACTTCACAGGGCAGTGGTAGGTCTGCTCACATAATAACACACAAAATCTATTTTTATTTTGTGTTGGGAGAAGGAGGGAGTTTCACATTGTCACAGAAAAGAACAACCTGCTCCACAAGTATCTGTATGTGGCTAACAACATAATGACAAAAATGTATCTGGGGAGAGGGGAACACAGCAACCTCCCCATACACATGCATTGCTGGTCCCCCCCATCTTCCCCTAGACCAGGACTCCCCGAGAGCCAAAGCACTATGTTCTTAGGCAAGAATTTCTCAGCAGTATACTCTGTCTTGATTTCATCCTTACTTCCCACTTCCCCACATTCACAACTAGAGACTGTGTGTTTTTGAAAAGAAGAGGCCCCAGAGGAACTTTCCAGAGCTCCAAACACCACAGTCATCCTCCCTCGGCCAAATCTCCATCCTCTGCCCTTAGCTGAAAGGCTCAGCACAGCCATCCGCATATTAAAAGTTCGACTTCATGGAATGTTAAGGGTCACCACTCCAAAACTTGTGTCTTACAGTCTAATTGTAATCAACAGAAACACCAAAGACCCCCACATGTAGAGTAATATTTGAACACACCTATGTGTGTTTCCTAATAATTCTGGTGACTTGAAGAGACATTTCGCCACACCCCCATTGAAAAGATGAGAGCAGTGAGGCAGAAAGGGAAAACATAGCTTCCCCAAAGTAACATCTGCAACAGGAGAGAAACCCCAGGCAGAACCTTTTATCTCTTGACTCCCAGTCCAACACTGAGCTACTACACGGATGAAGCAAGAAAAGTTTCCACCAGAGTTTTCACCAGGCCAGAGCGATGTGCAGGGTTGGAAAGTTGAAGACAAAGAAAAAAATGTCAGAAACAATGGGAGGGATATCTTGCAAGGACTAGGCTTTGGCTGTGATCATATATTAACTTATCACAGGCTAGAGAAGTAAAGAGAAGCCCTGAAATGTGAAATGAAGACAATGTCATAAACTGAAAAGGTCGATGATGTTTTAGTTACTTATTCCCTACTATACCGAGTATCTACCAGGTACAAGGCATGCAGTGGGTACAAAAATGAAGAGACGGCTTACCCCACAACTCTGGAAGTCTGACAGGGAAATGAGACTTGTGTATAAGTAGCAACAAGAGAAAAATATTGAAAGATCCTATAGGACACGGAGGGGTACAGCTAAACTATCCAACACAGCCATAGAGTGGGAGACACTA